CAACTCCTAAATGCAATCCCTAAGTCATAAATCCCAAGCCCAAAACACCAAACCCTAAATCCTCAACACCAAATCCTAAATAGTAGTTTCCATTTTCTTTTCCATTATCCCTATATATACCCCAATATATTATAGCAGTTTCCATTTTCTTTTCCATTATCCCTATATATACCCAATCCAACCAATAGTGTTTCGGCATCTTTGGGCTCTACTATGAGGGCGTTTTGGGATTCTCGGTCCCTGGGACCATGGCAACTTAGGATGGCCCACAACACCAAGCACGAACACAAAGCCGCTGTACCCTTCCCATTGGGGAAACCCTATAGGGTTTAGGGTTTAGGGTTTAGGGGGGAAACCCTCCACACGTGAATGCGACGACTATACTCAGTATTGGTACCATTGACGCTAAACCCAAAACCATGATGGAGCTCAGGTCTTGTGCAAACTGCATATTGGCTTCCCTATGCATCCCATTACCATTCCCTGATTGTTGGAAGTTCTGTTTTCTTGTAGCCTCCAAGGAATATGTACATGGTGCCAGAGCACATGGTAAGCCGCAATGCGTACTTCTTCATCATGATTTTCGTGATCCCGCCACCCAGCAGCAGAGGAGTTTACGGATGTTGAGGGCTCTACCTACCTACTGGGTTTGGAAGCTGGAAATGCATCTATGTACGTGGCTGAAGTGCGGTGAATTACTGTGCCACGGGCGGCACTGCGACGCACACCATGTAGTTGTCCCATGTAATCCCCTGCAATGACCCCTTCAATTTCTAGAATCCAACCGGCTCCTACGCCCAGCTAAGCATGCGGGAGACAAGGGTTTAGGGTTTCGTGGTTTGCCCCACGGCAGTCTTGGGACTTCTTCCCTACATTCCGCACTCTTGGCTTGTCTCCCCAGACCATCCAATTGACGATCATGTTGCCATCATTGTATTTCGGGCTTCGTGGGCGAGACATATCGTCCATGTGCGCAGGGGCTTCTCAAACTGACAATATGGAATCTCTTGGAGGACCTTCATAGGTTTTTTGTGCTGGGTATCATCACAGACGAGCTAGGGTTGCACTTGAGGTTTTTTTAATCTCGCTGAGTGTGTATGATGATGGTTTTCAGGAATATTGGTGAACATGTGCGGGTAACATGTATATATACACATATAACATGTACATATACACATATATGGACAGTTCCTAAAAGTAGGGCTTCATTTTGATAACCCTCAACAGTAGGTGCCGGAATGAAATCCAGAACCAAAAGGGCCCATATTTTTGAGAATAACACAAATATTTTGGGTGCCGAACTGGGAGTTGCATTCCTCCCACTGTCTCGCTGTAGTCCTATTCCCTTGCTGACACTTCATCAACTGTCCCGGGCGCAAAGAACTTCACAACATGCAGGTCCGTTCTACCATGAAGCAAAGTCCGATCCGACTTCTAGATTATGTACATCTATGTACATATGGCATATGTATGCATACCTCTACTATATATGTTTGGTACATTTATATGTGTATATATATACATAGGGAGAGAGGGTGCGTCGGAAATGTTCTGTCTATATTTATACATGTAGGCTTACATTTACATATATGCACACTTGCGCTCTCTAGGGCAGCCAATTTCAGGAAAACCCAGCCGGATCTCCATCTTCAGAGGTTTCTGAGAATGCGGGGACCCTAAGGCTCTACCCACTTCATCAAGCTAAATGGCATCATACTAGGGGTGTAGGGCTTAGAGGTTTAGGATGGTTTAGGGCTTAGCGTTTTAGGGTTCAGGGGCCCCACAAGGCTTGCCGTGCTGGTTTACGACATGCTACTTGGCAGAAAGAGGTTCATGCCCGGACCTTGTTTTGGGGCGTTATGTGAAGTGCTGTCAACATTAGGATCGCCAAGGGACCGTGAAGGGTGGACATACGGTCCCTTTGGTTGTTAGGTATTCTGAAAAACTATTTTTTCCGAATAGCAGCCCGTGTCCATGAATTATATGGGACTTATTGACTGTAGCTCATACCTGAACCCCAAAAGCATGTAGAATAATAGCCCTTTTGGGCTGTTTTAAGGGGCGATTATTTTACCTACTTTGGGGGTCCAGGTAGGGCTGAATGACAACGGTTAGGGTGTGCGGGCTGATCCTCAGATCTAACAGCTGGATCGGGATCCCTCCTTCAGGGGTTCGTTGTGGATCCTAAGCCCTCAGACGTACAACCCCTGAATGAGGGGATGTTGCTTCTTGTGGATTCTGGCACGCGCATGTAGCCGGTAGGGAGCATGGCATGCGAGAGTACTAAGCTTGTTACTTGGATGTTTTAAAGAATAGAAAGTGGATATGCAGGCGGCGCGAGATCCATGAGAACCGTGGTAAAATTCAACGCAAGCTAAAGACCACAACCCGGAACGTGCCCATTCCTGCTTTACTGTCGTGATTCCCATGATTGCCAGCCTATGTTTGCATGCAAAGTCCCGCCTTTTCTTGGTTGTCTGCCAGGATTCACTCTATTCACTCTACTACTACCAGACTATGTTTTATTGGGCTATCAGTGCACGATTGTTAGGAGTGATCCTGTCCCTTCAGGGGCAGTATCTCTCTTAGGACTACTGCAATGACAACCCACTATGGTTTCTAGACACTAATTAATGTAGACTAACCCCTCTGGCGCCAATGTCTGGAGGTTCTTCCACTGGTTCTTCCACCGTTGCCTTCGACCAGACGCTGCTGACAAAGTGATGCGCGAGCTGGAAGAGAAAGGCACGCGGCCTGCGATACTGAGGGTCTAGTGCTTGAGGGCCGAAGGGTTGAGGGCTGAGACCTTGGGATTGAGGTACTATTATTAGTTCCTATTATCATTACTAGTATTACTTCTATTATGACTACTTTTACTATTTCTTTTGTTATTTGAGGATTGGAGAGTCGGGCTTTGGAGGGCTGGGGCTTGAAGTTTCAGGCTTGTGCCAAGATTGTACAGGAATTGTCTGGGGGCTGGAAGGCAAGGACTTGCCTAGTTCAGGGAACACATGTCAGGGGACCCCCACTCAAAGCGCCTGCACGGCAGAAGGCCTGAACTCCAAAGCCCAACCCATCCTAAATTGTGTGAGGCAAAGGTACCAGTGATACCTGCAGCTCTGATCCGATTTCGCCAGCCACTGCACGTTCTTCGGCGAGAGAGAGCATGTGTGGGTGTCACCTGGCATGCTAAAGACCACGGTAGAGCCCTTGGGGTTTTATATGGGGTATATATAGGGATAATGGAAAAGAACATGGTAACTACTATAATAATTCTATGGGGGTTGTATATTGGATTTATATTGGGGTTTTATGCAGCTTCGGTTAAGGAACGGATTGCTCAATCCGGCTCTGAGATTCCCTGTGCTGGTGCGATTTGGAGGTAGAGCCATCATCCAAGCTGTTTTGAGTTCGCTGTAACGTATTAGGCTGTTTACAGAGTCAGGAATCTAGACTATCTTCTGAACCTCCCCACGATAATTCCTGTTTTACAGACCTGCTTCTCCACACGTCTCGTGGTTATATCGATGCAGGCGGTACCTGGTTCTGGTCTTGGCGCTTCGACTTGGTACTCCAACTTGCGCTGGATTGGAACCCCTGAAACGGATGGGTTGGGTTCTCCCATGCAACGTCTTAACTTCTCTGGCTCCAATCCCAGGAGGCAACTGCTGTTAGAACATTCGTCAGGCTCCTGGAGTTTCCACTAGGAAGATGGGCAGTGGAGCTCATTTTCTTTTTGCTTTGAGCTCGGTGCTTCCAAGCATGTGTGGTCCCTTTCTGTAGGATTGCTCCTTGGAAGGATTCTTTTTTTGGGGGCCCCTACTTTCTGAAAGCAGGCAGCTGAAAACCACCTAGCCAAGGCTCTGCGGATGTTGAGTCAGGGTTGCTGGGCGGCAGTTTCGAAAGGTTTCAAGGATTACGAATACTGTAACTGTAGCCCTGGGTTCTTTTTTTGACTATGGTATACGGTACCTTGGTGCATTGTGGCGGTCTCTTCAGTTGGCATCTTTCCGTTTTAGTGATACATGGACATTACCGCGGCGCAGTTCTTCAGCTGCGAGAGTTGCCAGAGTTGCCAGAGTTGCCAGAGTCATCAGAGGCATCAGAGGCGTTGATGTCACATGCAGATCTCTCATTGCTGTTCTGCAGTATGTTGGAATCTCAGCCTTTAGTCCGCATTCCCCTGATGTGCGCAATAATCAAAGCCATTGCTTGCAGCACTGACCGCCATGACCAATTGCTCATGGCTGTTCTGCAGTATCTCACGCTGACTAGCTGTTGAACCCCTCGCCTCATGTTGTAAGCTGCGTTGTAAGTTCCAAGCTCCCCATCATTGAGACAAAGAAGTCCCAAAGTGTCAGCTTGTTCAGGATGTTCAGTCACGACGCATGCAACAAAGCCTGAGCCCCCACTGGACACAGGGGGCGAGGGCTGACGACACTGACGACTGACGACAAGGCCTGAAGTTGCGGGTGAGGGCCAGACGACGACAAAGCCTGAGCCTTGCGGCGAGAGCTAGACGACGACAAAGCCTGGGCCTCCACTACACACAGAAGGCGAGGGCTGACGTGACGGCTCAGGTGCCATTCTGCAGCGACTCTGACCTGCCCTAAACCCTACACCCCAGAGCCTGAACCCTAAACCGCGTCAGAATTCATTCTTCCAGGGTTCATGTAGCTATATCGTACAGAGTTCTGAGTCTAGGGTACGTCGGCTGTACCAGCACCCCAAAGCAATCCCTAATAAGAATCACTGTATTTGGGGTCTATATTATTGGGGTCCCCCCATTTTGGGAAGCTACATGAAGCTACCATTTGCATAAACATGGAGCTCATGCCGAAACCTTCTCAAGTAACCCGAGTCGTAGGATTTCCCAGATAAGGACACCCCAATTTGGGCAAACCTGGTTTGGGTGTTGGAAATGCCGGTCCTGTGGCATCCCCTGCAGGAACCACACTCAAGAGCTCTGACTCAGCTTCACTAACAAGTGCTTGTCACAATATTAATAAATTCGTAATAGTAGTAATAATACTCATAAGAATAGTCATATTTACGGTAAGAATAGTGGCATTACTCGTGGTTGTCATGGTTGAATGGTAGGGGTTGGAGTGGTGTTGGCTGCGTTGGCAGCTCCTGTTGAAGTTGGAGGGTCTCTCTAGCAACACATGCAGGGAAACTCCCAAATCTGGGTAATATAGAGGCCGAAATAATTATCAATATTATGGTTCCATATTCCTTGTATAGTTATAGTATATGGTACCTCAAAGGGACCTCGAAATTATAGTAGTATATAATTATTTAGGCCCCCCGTAGTACCTGTGTGGATCTGGGCTAAGAACTGACTCCGCGGAAGAGACGCGCAGCCTTGTGCCGGACTGCGGGAGCCCTTCAGAAGTTGAGACAAGTTCATTCGGCTGCATTTAAGGTTTCCCAAAGTTCGGGTTTAGGTTAAGGGGTTCATTCGGCTGCATTTAGGGTCTCCCAAAACTAGGGTTTAGGGTGTAGGGAAGGCGTATAGGATTCAGGTTGGGGATGCTCCGATGTAGTCTGGATTGCTGTCAGGGAAGTTAACTTAAGCTACCATATAACGGGATATAACGGGTATATATTAAATCATTATAGTACTTAGTTATTAAGTCGCCTAACAGCAACCCAATAGTTTTGGGCATGGTGTTTAGGGCTTAGGCCTGGCTGATGATCAGGGAGTGCCAGAGATGCGCAACACAAGTTTGAAGTCTCATGCCTCTTCATTCCGACGTAGCACAGGAGTTCGTTGACGTTTGCCGCATAACTTTGCAGGACATGGCGGTCACAAGTTATTGTAAGTACATCGTGTGGAGTGCACAATTACGAATGCTTATTCATGTGTGACACGTTCACTTTTCTCGTTGGTGCCACTGCTTCATGTTTGTTAGAGAGAGGCATTTGTCCACGAGATCATCTAGAAAACGCTGGGCTATTACAGGACTGGATTGAGCCACACATCCCAGATTTCCTTTCATTGCTTCCCAGTGCGGTCCCTTCCGTCCCGACCAAAGCCCGACCCATAGACTCCTGCCCAAACGGGTCATGATGAAAGACAGAAGCAGGATCTGGGTTTGAAGGGAGTTCCTGAAGATAATGGCTACAAGTGCAATTTCAACCAAGTTCAAGGAGAGGTAGAGTCACGCATGACGAGGCCACGCATGCCGCTGGCTGCTGCAACAGCCCTACCACTTGAAGGCGCGAAGCTTGAAGTGATAAAGCAAAATGGCAGTTTCTCAACATGGGGGTACCGTGGAGTAGCTCAGGGGCTTCAAGGGATTAAATTCAGTACAAGCGAACTAAAGGGCGGACCTACTAGAAAGTTGCTTTGAAAAGCTGACAAAAACTGCGGAAATGGCATGGTAGCGGGCGAGGATAGACGTGCTGCAGTGTGATCATGCCTTCGGTTCATTGTCATTGTACAAAACTGCTATTGTCATTGTACTGTAGCTTTCAGTGCTCACAAGATGCGATAACATGGCCTCAGCGCAACATTTCCAATTCCTGCAAGCAAGGGGCACACTTTTCGGTCATAGCTTGGGTTCGGGATTCTGGGTTGTTGTAAGGGAACTTAATTTATGCCGCGATAATAAGGAAACCCTATTGCGTACTCTATACCTATATTATGGTAGCTTAAAATTAACTTCCTCAACAGCAACCCAGAACGGAGGTTCCTTGGAGCAGCTGTTTAATCTTGCAGTTTCAGGCGGCTCGTACTTCCAAGCACTGGTCAATTTAAGGCTCTCGCAGCTCCAAAGATGTTATACCCATCCAATGGAGAATCACAGACCTTCCCAAATTGTGTTGTCTCAGTGAGACAGGGCTATAAGGCTTAGGTTTTAGCATTTTATGGTCCATTCATAGCTGTGCTTGTGGGAACTATCGCCTTTAGCCATGCCGGCCAACGGATTGGAAACCTTGATTGGCAGCTCCGCTGATGAAAATGATGAATCTGACCAAGCCACCCTTGCGGACAACGTTGAAACCCTGGTTGCTCCTTACATCAACCTTATAGCTTCTATGAGGGCTGTGCGGCCTGATGTGGTGAGAGGAATTCGGCTGCACCGAATCTTGCAAGGTATGCCCTGGCTCTGGGCGCGTGGAAAACTGGACACTCTGCACAGCTTCAGCGAAGTTACGATCACGATCGACGAGTTTTGGTCCCACAGCTGGCAATCTGCTGCATGGACAAAGTTCCCCAACGCCTTGATGTTGAACCATGGTTCTTTTGCCTTCGCCGCCAGCATTCTCATTGCTTGTCTCGCGTGTGCCCTCGTGCTCGTGGATGTTGTGCCTCCTCTGCACGTTGGCTCACTGGGCCCCAAACAGTGCTTACTATCTGGCAGCGCAGCGTACTACACGTCTCTCGCGCTGTCGCGCCGGAACAAGCTGATCTTTCTGGACATTGCCTGCATAAACCAAGTTGACCAGACAGCGAAAGCTGAGGGCATAGTTAGTTTGGGCGCCGTCCTGAAGCACTCTATGTCCATGCTTGTGTTTTGGGACCCCACATTCGTGCGCAGACTTTGGTGTATGTTCGAGCTAAGCGCCTTTCTGCACAGCCGGAGAGCTGGCACAAAGCCTAGCCTCACCATTTGCACACCCTTTCTGGGTGCGGTACTGCTGGGATGCCCTTTTGCCTTTTGCATCATTGCTTTTCTTTACTCAGGAGGCTTCGGGAACCTTTTCAAAGGCATAAACAGCTTGTTCTTGTTAGCCCTCTGCATCTTGTGTCTGACTCCTTTGTCGTACGCAGTGCGCAGATATTGGCGCACCATTGATGCCATGGAGCAGCAGGCCTGTGAATTTAGCTTGGATGGCAGCCTCAGTGCCTGCTGCCAGCATGATCATCCTCAAGGACTCTGTGACCGAAGTATCCTTCTGCCATGTATTGTCTCGTGGTTTGGGTCAGTCTCCAACTTCGAGAAAGTGGTGCAAACTGAGGTCCGGGTAACCCTCGCTCACCAGCTTAGAAACAACACTACCCGCTACTTCTACTTTGTTTCGGCGACAGTGCCTGTTCTTTGGCGTGGTCTGGATGGTGTGGCAGATGCCCCACAAGGCAAGAAGCTAGCAGAGCTGTGTCGACAACTGGCGGCTTGGTTGGCAGTTATGCCATGTGTCATCTTCCTTATGCTGCGCTTAATGCACCGGCTGCGGGCCTGGGCTGGCAATATGTTTTGTGATCTCCTGCTGTCTGCGGGCATTGTTTTCGTCTCAATAGCTGTCTTTCTGCTTTGCCACATGGCCGAGATTTTCCTTTTCGATAACTACCTTGGATCCCTTCTTGGGCCCGCAGCATACCTAGCAGCAACCAGCACGGTGGCCATTTGCGCTTGGTGCTGTTCGCCGGAGCTTCGCCCAATATCCGCGTCTCCGACAGACATGGGCACATCTGAAAGTGAAGGTGGTTAGCTGCTCGACTTGCCAAAGCAAAACAATCAGGTGCAATAGTGCGCAACTACTGTCTGGCCTCAACACAGGCACTAGGCCTGCAGCCAAGGCTGCCGCAACTGAGCTAATATCCTTGCATCATTGTGAGGGGAGTCTGGGATCTTCACGAAGTGCGTGCGATGAGTGAGCCTAGAAATCCTTAAAGCAGATACTGTAGGGTTGGGATTCTAGCAGAGTTCCTTGGTGTGATGTGCTCCGACGTTTCGCCACTGGTTCCAGATGAGCTATCGTCTAAAAGTCCTTAAAAGCGGCTATTTAGGGGATCATCAGGGCAGTATTATAGGGGTTACTAAGGGGGATGCTAGGAGCTTAGGCTATAGCTTACGTACCCTCCACAGCGCCTTCACGCAGCTCCTTGTCAAGCCCTAAAAGCATTTCCGGGTGCAGGTGAATGGCCAAGTGCTCCAATCTGAGACCTGAGTCTAAAAGAGTTGGGCTCTGAAAGTCAAATGTTTTCTCTCATGCTGGAGCATACTGGAAGATCTCTATACTGAGACTTATCCCGGAAGCCCAGAACTTTGACAGCGACAGGATCCTCAAGGGTGAGGCAGCTGCTCATCAACATCTCTCAATGTTTACGCACACCAAGCAGAGCTCGAACATACCTACAAGAGGGTTCAGGGTTTAAGTGTTTTGGCTTGGGGCTTAGGGTCATAGAGTTTGGGGTTCTATAGTTCAGCCTATAGTTTCCATTTTCTTTTCCATCACCCCACTAGAACCCCAATAATATACCCCAATATAACCCCCAATATAAGCCCTACAGTCACCATTGAGGCTGTCTTTCTCCAGGGTCTACAGGCGTGTCCCTGACCTGGGCCGCCCACCGGCATCGCCCAAAGCTGGAAAGCCAAGCGGCATAAACCTTTGGGGGTTTAGGGTCTAGGGGTTTAGGGCTTAGGGAGTAGGGTTTAGGGGACTATGTTCAAGATGAAAGTTCTGAACGTGCTTGAAGGAAGATGGTAAGATGGCTTGAGGCCTGCTTTTGGCACTTCGAGAGGTCCCTGATTTTGGCCCTTTTGTCCCTGTCCTGGACACTTCCTCCACTCAGCAACAGCTGTATAATAATCATAGCAGATTTATAATGAGTTCTTTAAAAAACTTCTCGAGGGTTTTCCACCTAGCCAGCCCTGAGTCAAAAAATCCTAAATACACCCAGTTTCCATTTTCTTTGTCATATGATTCCCCATTTTGGGGGTAATATCCCAAACCCTATCCAATCCCCATATAACCCTGATTTAATTCCCACATAATCCGTACATATCCCGTAAGCAATATCTGATCCCTATAATAGTACTTGGAGGGTCAGGAGGACTTAGTAATTAGGCTAATAAGGGGGGGATAACTGTGCTGATTATATGGCGTAGTAGGGTTATATTCATACTTACGAAGTCCCTGTGTCCCCCCAAGTAGGTCCCAACCCAAGTTTCCATGTCATTCTCCATGTTCTTTTCCATTCGATTCTCCGTTATTAACAACCCTGTTCCCTAAACGCTAAACTGCTAAACCCTAAACCCTGAGCCCTAAACCCTAAACTCCAGACCCTAACCCTAAAACGAAAGGTAAGGGTATGTCCCTGTCAGAAAAGCAGGTCAGCTTCGGTGGAGCCCTAGGTGGTCTCATCCTGCTGCTGTGTGCGGCCCTCTGCCACTGCCGCTTGGTGCTTTTTGGGAAGTGTCCTGCCCAGACCCCAGGCAGGATCTAGAAAGTCGAACCCCTGATATACATGAAGAAAATATGGTACCCTATCCTTCCGGGGATCTACTTTCTAGATCCTCCCGGGGTTTGGGTAAGGATTGCATGGAGTTGACATGAGGATTCTAAGGGACGGTATAGGCATCATACAAGGTATGCATCAAAGTAAAGTGGGAATGCCAGGATTCAAAATGCGGCCGAGCTACTGCTGCGACTTAGACTTGGGGGGTTCGATGCTCAGGTATGGCCATGCTTTTGCACTTTCAGCGAGATTGACCTCTTGCCTTGTTTTCTGTTGAGGGAGACTGGGGATTCCGTGTTTATTTACTGAGCTTCTGATGTGGCTTGCATTATTTGGCCTCTAGCGCCATGCTACCGGACCCGTTCTTGCTTCAGAAGCAGCTTCACAAGTCGCCGTCCCTTCTTCGATGTCTTGCTATACTGCACGTAGTAAGGTGCAGTCGTAGTCAGCGGTGCTCATGACAATTCGCTGTAGCGTTCTGGAAGGGACGTTGCCAGGAGAACGCACTGTTTCAAATGGTCCCAACAAAGAGCCAATGTGGAACGTTGCAATTGCTTATGTTGGGGCGCGTCAGCAGGAACGTGCTTTGGAACCGACACGGCCAGCAGTAATGTCACGGACATGTGAAGTTGTGCTTGCTGGAACCTATATTCCCACAGTAAGCTTCCGTATGCAAGCCAGCCCGAGAAGAGAGTAGAATAGTCAATCTGGCACACAAAGGCCTTCGAAATTATTGAATTATTGGTGCACATGATACGCCCCTGATCCCTGAACAACCCTTGTGAAAATGAACCGAGAGTGTTGTCTGCATTGCATCCAAGCCTATGCTTTCGGATTTGCCTCTGAAAGAGTGCCAGGGAAGTCGGAGGGTTACGCACAGATCCGCATCAATTACTCAGTTTCTCGGCAAGGTGTTTTGCTTGGGCTTCTTCTTGGGAGCTTCTTTACGCAGGGATTCGCCGTGATCGGCGAGCTGTATACGGTATACGGCACACCTTGTTTGTTTTTTGCAAGTGTGTCGGGGTTTGCCAGCTGATATTGACCAGGCGTTGCCGAGCCCTTCAACAAACATTCAGCTTTCGAAGGAAGTATGCAAACTCCACGTGCCCCCGAACCAGTGCTGGTGCCTCAACATATGTGGGGCTTGCATTAAGGGATGGTATAGGGATTCTATAGGGTTTAGGGTTTAGGAATATTACCTGCAGCGCCTCTTCTTGGAAGCAGGATTTTGTACTTAACCAGTCCAGCGCCACACTTTGGGAACTGTCATTGAGGGAACCCCAGCAAAGGGACATGTCTTCCCTGCCTGGGTTTAGGGTTTAACGTTTAGGGTTTGGGGTTCAGAGATCAGAATCAGAGTTTGGGGTTTATGGGTTTTGGTTACCAATGAAGGGGCAATTACTATCAAGCTGTAGGTAATTGGGGTTAGAGGTAAGCATCCAACCTAAATTGCTATCCCTTAACCCTACTTAAACCCTAAGTTCAAGGAACCAGTGCCCTCTCTACACGGAAAGGTCCTCTGGCTTCCAAAAAAACCCTAAACCCTAAATTTCAGACCGCAAGCCTTGGAGAAAAGGTCCGATAAACAAAACTCAAACCTCGTGGCTAGCACAGGACTGGAATGATTCAGTCCGAGACAGGGCCAGCTTCCTTGAGGCAGTGGAGGGATATGGGGTGACTGTAGGGGTATATAGGCTACAGTCTGAACCCCTTAAAAGGGGGTTATACAGGGATTATATAGGGGACTAGTATAGGGGTTATTCAAGGGGATACTAGGAGTTTAGACTTAATGGCTCACATGGGGATTTTTGGGTTTAGGGTTGAAGGGAGGAAGGATTATGTTAGTATGGGGCTTTCCCAAAATTACGGTACCTTCTCGGGGGTTCCGATACTAAGGACTATATCGTGTTTTGGGTCGTTTATGGAAACGATCATGTAGTTGCAATTGTAGCGCAATAAATAACAAGTGTAATGGGACCTTTCAGTTGTTCATTGTATTTCCTTTTTAAGAGTCGCAAGGGAAGAATGTTCCCAATCACTCAGGTCTCTTTGCTGGCTGTAAATTACCTGCCCACGGCCCAGCTAGTGCTTGGGGGTTGGGGTAGCTACCTACTTTTTTTTTATCGACAGCCCAAAGCAGTCGAACATGCTTCCCATGAAGCCCGTTAAGCCAAGGATGTCAACTTCTGTGGTTTTTCATGATATTTCACTAGTGGCCACAACATAGCTTTCAGCAAGGATGCTGTTGAGGGCCATGGCGGTCTTGTTGGTGGACAGGATTCGCATATGTTCTTTCTTTGCCTTTTATTGGCGCCATGACTAGCGTAAGTATGAAAGCAATACCAGCACTATTACTAATTACCCAGACCCCCTATAGAATCCAAAACATGAACCCACCCAAAAAAATAACCGCCATTACTACATTGGGGAAACTAGGGGATTATTGGGAGGTTCCGTTCTTTGGAACCTTTAGGGGGTCTGGGTATTGGCCGTTTTACTTACTTTCACTATTCTTCCAACAGTTCTACTTTTGCTGTTGCTGTCATCCTGCGCAGGGCATCTTCCTCCACTACCCCGTGGGTACCAGAAAGGAACAGACCTCAGCTTTTTGACATAGGCATTCAGGGGGAGTGCTGTTATAGTAGTAAGGCAAGATGTGAACAACAAAATAGAAACTATGATTCAGGCTTTACGGTCTACAGGTGCCATTCTGGAGAATCCAATGGAAAGGAACAGAGAAAATGGACTAGAATACATGTGTACAGGGGTTTTGTAGGGGTAATTGCCAATATCCGGCATTCCAAAGGCTCTGCACCTACTTGCCAAAGAAAGCCATGCTACTGGAACCTTTGAACTGGTGCCACAATGGCCGTTGTTGTTATCAGGGGGTGGGGAGGGGATTGGTACAAGCGGTCTGAACAAGGCTCAATATCTGCTGCTCTGCACCGTGGACCTTACTTTGTTGGAAAGGGTGGTTGTAGCCGTGGGGCTACTGTGGAGAAGTTGTTGGAAGCACGTGAGCCATATGATTGAGTCCTTAAAGGGTTATAAGGGATTATGCAGGGGAGCATTATAGGGGTTATAAAGGGGGATGCTAGGAGTTTAGGCTATAACTCACATGGTCCCATGGCTGAGGCCCTGCTTGCTGATTCATGTGACTTTGGCCTCGACATGCCCATGCTTGTATTGTGGGGGTTCGCGTGGCAAAAGGATAGGATTCAAACAGCCCCTACACCCTATATCCTCATCTGTGACTTATACCAGCTTAGTCAGCCAGTTTAGAGGTCAAAGGAGCCATGTTCCAAATTCCGAAGTTGAGAAGCTTTGATCGTCTCTGCCTGCCTCTTGGAAAGGTGGGTAAGAAGCTTGTCCTGGTTGCGGAGCACTACCGGCTTGAAAGCCTGTCACTCCACGCTACATCCTCACTCTGAAGCTCTCGCGCGCGCTCTTTCCGAGAAAGTTTTGCTAAGAACGAAGCCTTGAAGTATAGTTCTAGTGAGATGCGAGTCGCCTCCAGCCTCAGGGATAGACAAGATGGGGAATGCAGCGTCTGGACCTCGCAAGTGGCTTGCATACTGCCAGAACCACATGTGATAAACAGAGCATCGGATATGTAAGCATGCAACAAGTCTACAGTTGCTATACCCTTCAGGAAACGCATGGGTGCATGGTCTGCAAAGGTTAATTCCGCGACGAGCGCCACCAAGCATATACTGTATGAATAGAAAGCCCTATAAACTATAAACCTTGAACCTTGACTGCTGGACCTTACACCCTAGACCTTAAACTCTAAACGATTTCGCGGATGCTGCAGAGCCAACAGGAGGAAGTTTTCAAGGTGGACCTAGACAAGGACTCGCAAGGGCTGCACGGGATTTTTCAACATGGTGAGCCCTCATGAAAGAAGAGCTTAGTATACAGGGGTCTCCAATGTTGATACATTTCGGTCTGCGACCTCAACAGTAGTTTCTCATTTCTTTTCCATATTATCCTTCGAACACCATCACACTCGCTCTATGGGTAACCAATGTCGTACCGTTTATGCTATAAATCCTGCATGACCTTGGTCCACCAGAATACCGTAGTTCTTAATGCATCAGGTACTCAGGCTCAACGCAGGACTTTTGGTATTATGCGTAGTAGTAGTAAGTAGTAGTGACGGTATCCCAAGTGGGGGGTTCGCTGAGGTCTGCTCACCTTGTGCTAAAGAGGAAGGGCCCATGGCAATGACATCAAGAGAGTCTCAACAAGTGAAGGACATATCTGGTGGTGTGTAGGGAATACAGGAAGAAAACCCCTGTATAATTAACCACCCGTAAGATAAAGAGGCTCCCCTGAACACTCACTAATTCAGAAAGCAAAGATTTCAACAAATGTACACACGATCAACATTGGTTTGGCTGTTCTGAAAATTCCGCTAAATCCCCCAATGTCCAGATTAACCAGGGAACAGAATTCCAAAAGCTTCGTTTGCTGGAAATCTTGACGTTTGGCGAGACTCCCAGCATGTCACCCATGCAGCACCCAGTCCCATAGGCGTAGTGTTCGCTACGCAGAACTCGTGGTTGTGCTCTTGTTGAGCAGTGGACTGGGACTTGATTGGTTGGAGGCTTGAATGTTGAAGTTCTCGATTATCTGGAGGCAGAGTCTTGATTGTTTTGAAAGCTGGAATGACAAGAGTTGCAGTGTTTGGTACGTGGTTATGCTCTTGTTGGATATCAGCTTAGACTTGGACTTGATCCCCTCAACGCTGCCAGGACTGTGTGCCGCTTTTAGACGGTGGGAAGAGTTGCACGAGCCTTCTGCGCATTGAAAAGGCCAAATCAACACTGTAAGTAAGGGCCTTAAAAAAATAATGAGGTTTTGGTGTGTAGTGTACATAGGTATACAAGAACTATGTTAGCAGAATAGTCGATGGTACTACTTCGGCTTCTACACGAGTTCTCGGACCCAGGGATGTTTTTTAGGGTTTAGGGTTTTACGGCCTAAACCCTAAACCTAGAGTTTATGTTTTTGAGGCCTGTCTGGTCCCTGGTGAGTACTAGGTAGCTCAAATACAAAAGGTTGTACTCCTGGGGAGTATATACGGGCCACAATGGGGATCCAGTCCTTCGTTCCACACTAACAGATGGCAAGTTTGACCTCCGGATGTCAGGGCTTATTGTGATGACCGAATGAGGAAATGTGGTCTCTTGAGCAAAGTGGTTTGGCGCGTCGTATTGTGAGATCATCATTTTGAGCTGAAGTCATGACATTCATCAGACCTCCAGGAGAGGTAGTTTATGACAAGTTTGCTTTCACAAGCCTGCTCGAAGCTTTCAGAGCCTTCGTCATCCACGGTACCAAAAAAAATCAGCAGGTAAACGCCGCAAGAAGGCTACCAGCTCAGAACCCTTTGAACGGATTTTTTCGTGGGAAGGTGTTGAAATTAGAAGAATACACAGCTGGATGCTTCGGGTAGCTATCCATTTGCTAGGAACATGTAAAGACCTTCTTATGACTACCATGATCTCCGGTGGTCACTGTTAGAGATGGGGGCTTAATCTAATTGATGCTACAAGATACCGTGACGTGTGGTGTGGTCTCCGCTATGACGCTTTGAAAGCACGGCGTTCTAAGCATAGTTTGCATCTTCCTTACAAGCTCATTCATAAAATGGCTGCTTCAACCACGAGACCGCAAACCACTTACCCCAAACTTGGGGCAGCCCATGATAACCAACAGTAGCCTCGAAAGCTCCTGACAGAGCTAGAATCAAGTTCTAGGGGACATTATGATGTAGTTGCACAAGACTTAGAGCTATACTTTGAAGGAACCCTAGAGGACAACATTGGTTCATGCAGGAATTCTCTGGGGATCATGCTAAGGAATTTATTTAGGGGTTTACTACTATTATTAGTATTACTACTACTATTACTGACTATTATTACCATTATTACTACTATAATTTCTATTACTACTATTACTATTATTAGAATTTCTACTACTGCTATAAAACGTCCTTAGCCCTTAAGAACCACTCCTGGGCTATTGGGTTCTGGATCTTAAGAAGCCAAGGGTTTAAGGTTGAGGGTTTGTGGTCTGGTTTTGATGGTTTTGGGTTGAGGGTTTAGGGTGGAAGGGACATGGATTTCAGAGAAAAGGTTACTTGCCTCCGCTAGCACCACATGCTCCCTGCAGAGCCCCCAGAATTCCTCTGTAGTTGCCACAACCCCGATTTCCTGAGAGCTTCCACTCTCGCTAAGAATACACCCCCGGGGGTGGGGGCGTTTATAATCAGGGTGACGGGGATTAGCATTAGAACCCCTATACCCTAAATAGTAGTTTCCATTTATTTTCCATTATCCCCAGATATCCCCTATATATTCTTTCATGGGCCCCCCAAAGACTTTTTGGGGGCAGCTTGGCCCTCAACCCCAACAGCTAGAATTTCATTTAAGCAGCCAAGGATCACAATCGCGCTCCCCTACCCCCTGAAGCAGCCCATGCTGTTCTACTCTGTAGGCGGGATGGTTCGCATCCAGGGGGACCTTCAGGATTGAATTTCAAGGCTGTAGGAAGCTTGATTGTTTCAAGGCGGTGGTAAGCTTGTGCAGAGGGCTGCCATTGAAATTCACATGACCAGTTCGTGCACGCGCATGCAAAAGGCTCGTGCACAAGACAAGCTGTAGATCATTTCCCTGCGCGGGAATTGAGGGCGCACAAATTCTGAGCTGAGATCTCCATCTTCATCCTAGACTCACGCGGCCAGCAGGTGCTTTAAGGAAAGCGCGGCTACCTGAACACGCGACATTTTTTTGGGCACATACTCCTTGCTGGGGCGGTTCGCAACAGATGTTGTGGGGATCGTAAGAACAAATCTGGCCCCGCATTCCTGGATCCCTTGCAGGACGCGTCCAAGTTAAAGCTTTGATTTCCCCGTGGCGCAGCTCAAGTTAGCTTAGGCTTTGCACATTAGGAGTTGTTTTTCGTGTCTGAGCGTCACGCATGAGGTAAGATGGTTCTAAGCTCAGCAAAACCACCCAAAGGAAGCTTAGGAAATCAGAGCTTGTTTTCCCTTCAACCCATATCAGTACAGCCACTGCGACCAGGGCCCATGTATCAGAACTACAATCACTACATGCTGCTCGGCAGAAGCAGGACTTCCAAGAACAAAGGTGATGACAGGTGGGTGGAATGCTTCCGCAGAGACAGCTACACACGACTTCGCGTCTGGGAGTCGTTTGGTCAGTTTCGCAACCAAATGAAGTAGACCCATCGCCTTGTGCAAAATCTTCCACGATTGGGGAGATACTTAAAATAGTCCCTCTACTAGGCTTGCGAAGGACCTCTGCATGCCTACATATGCCAGAACTGATGAAGAAACAGTAGGGACGAGCAATTTTCTGCTTGATGCCCTTACAATTGTTGCGACGCACACGTTGGAATTGGGAAGTTTATTAGGGCCGGCTCCGAAATGCGCACAGCGGCGTGGAAAGCAGAATTTCCGGGGTTTGCTAGAGAGGGTCATGACTTTGACAGCTGCTTGAGTATTCACCAACGACACTGGTCACAATCCTTGTGCAATCGTTTTGCTAGTTACAGCTCCATATTGACTTTACTGCAATCCCTACATTACTTAGCTGAAGCCTTGGACCTGAAATCCACAGCCTGCGTGAGGGCTGCAGTTCACAGGAGCTAGCGTGACTCCAAGACAAAACAGCATTTGAAGTCTCTGAAGAAGCTAGCGAACCGCAAGTTTGCCTCTGAAAGGCAACTGAGTGCAAGCCTTCTTCTGTCGCAACTCTGGATGTCGAGGAGCCATCCAAGGCTCTCTGCAGAAACTGCCCATGTCCGAAATCCGAAACGGGGTTTCTGGGATCCCTAATTAAGACAGATCCTGCCTGGGCATCCACATGTTTCCCAAACAGCACACGCTATGTCCGCGCACCCAGGAAGTCCGAGGTTATACAGGAGCTCTACGGTGATTGGGATGAAGACAAGGACTCTTTTTTCATGAGCTGATGAGGGCGGGGTAGCTTGGGGAGTTTCACAGGATTGCCAGGCACTAAGAATTCAGGTTTCAAGTTTAGATAGGTTTGCGTGAGAGGGGGGAATATCCTCGTCCCTGGCATAAGGCTGAAACCAAGCTGCAGCTATGTCAACCCTGAATCTTAAACTGCGAAAGCCAAACCAGCGGTAGCAGGCTCTCCTAGATGGGGGTTTCCCAAAATCAGGGGTACTATTTTGGGGGTCCCCATAATAAGGACTATAGTATTTTGGAGTCTATATTGGGGTCCCCTTCTTTTGGGGAAACTTCCAAATGATGCTTGAAAAGACAAGGTGCCCCGAGGAGGCTCAAAAACATTCAGGGCTTAAAGGTTGAAGGGTTTAGGGTTTAGGGTTCAGGGATCATGATCATAAACTCAACCCACTAGTTGAAGTGCATCAAATTGTATATTAAGGAGATACGTAGGCTCTCGAGTTTTCCAAAATAAGGGGTCCGCTTCTTCTCCGAACTCCATATAAGCACTGATTTCATGCCATGTTCCTTGTCATTCTCCAAAGCCTTTCCATTTGATTCTTCATTCTTGGGAACCTCGGATTCACCTGAACGGCCTGGTCCGGCTGGCACTCTGATGATATTTATGAAGCCCAAACATTGCCTCCCAAGATGGGCTGAAATCTCAAAGTCTGAACTCCTTAAGGCCTTAGGATCCTTAGCCTAAGCTGTGGTCCTTGGTTGGCTGGCCTGCGCAGTCATTCGCGTTTCATCTCCAGGCATGATATATTGAAATGACGGACTGCAAGTTCGTTCGTTGGATCGCCAGGATATACTTTGTATAAACATGCAGCTTAGCAGGGCGTCGTGCCAGTGCACTCTGTGTTCATCTAGAGCCTGTGAAATTTCAGGAACAGGGTGGCCTCCAACATCAACGGGAGGCGGACAGTGTGAAGGGCTTGTGGATGTAAAGGTGTCTTGCAAGTCTCAAAGATGTGGTGTTGCAGATACGGGTGCCTGCAGATGAGTTTGCCCTGGACTCACGGATGCCGCCAGGAACACTAAGCAAGAGATGTGGTCACAGAACCGCAGATGTTGGAAAACAAATCCCTAGACTCGACCTCGCCTTGTGTTTGGCATGAGGTTCCAGCATGAGCTGCAAAACGGGAATCGATGTCTAACAGATCCCGGGTAGCATGAGCATCCTACTCGTCTTCACTGCGTGAAAGTTAACTAGGTCCAGAAATCAGTATAATTCTGGTTTATGCAATTCCTCCGATTATGCTTGTTATTATTATTGCTTGTGCTCGTTCTCAGAAACACAATAATTACTAGCAACTCTGACTCTGGCCAGTATTACTGTTTGCGTTTGCTATCATGACCTTTAAGCTGTATGCTCTGAGCCCTTGGCCACAGGCCAAGTGTCCGCCACGGACCCGAGAAGTGGTGACCAGCCCCGGGCACCCTGGTCTACTAACCTAAGCCTTAGGGTTTAGGGTTTAGGGCCTTGAACCCCAAAACCGAACTCCTAAACTCTGAGCCCTAAATAGCAGTTTCAACTTTATTTTCCATTATCCCAATAGAACCCAATCTAACCCTAATATTACCCTAAATCCCTGAAGCCTTATCCTAGACCAGAAGCCCTGACCTTGGGATGTCCTGAAACAAGTAAGTGTTTCTTCCGGCGCAGTACGAATACCCCCCAGACTTTGACAACTAAGATTTTTTCTTGGGAGGGTTCCGGCTTTCAGGGTTCGGGGCTTAGAGTTCAGGGTTTAGGGTTTGGGGCTTTATGCTTCAGGACGGCTCAGCCAAACGGAGATCTAAGCAGGTAGTCTTGAAACAAGGCTGAAATAAGGTTCTTGAGATGTCGTAAAGTACAGTTGAAGACTCGATTTTTACTCGCTGGTGCCCCCAAATCGCTGATGGGTTCACGGATGACCCAGATAGGTAGATCCCTTCTTACGGTGCTCCAGATCTACCGAAAATGGAAGCTAATCGGAATGAATTGGGTCTTCATTTGCAGCTGGATCTTGTACTACTACAAGGTCCTAAGGTCTGGTGGGTTTATGATGAGAACTCTGCTTTTAAAAAGCAGTTCGCAAATGGAAGTATAGAGTCATCTGGGGTGGGGCCGAAGGTTGCAGCACAGGGATTCCCGCCATCCTTTGAAGGGCTTTGAGTACAAAAGCTCTAAGACCCAAAGTATAACGAGGCGAGTATAAGGATGCTTTTAAAAATGCATAAGTTCAAATTAGAAACTGGAAGGAGTGCTTCTTTCATTGCTTCATGACTTGTAGGAGAACCTTATTTTTTGCGTTCAGCTTCTTTTGCGATGCAGCACGTCCATGACACAGCTTCGCGGATAACCCGAACTGTGGGTACATGTGAACTGCGGGTGAATGTGAGCCACATGGTGGCACTGTGTTTAGAATTTCTTGGGAAAGGTTGGTTCGTGGTCATTTGAACGTATCATGAAAATGGTACCAAGATTTGTGTTGGGTGCTGGGGTTTAGGATGCAGGCATTTGTTTTTTCAGCACAACATATCGACCTCATGCCGCGTTTTGAGATACCAGGTTAGCATTTGTAGCATGCTTGCCATGGTTCCTTTATGGTATCATTGGAGGTGGGCTTCGGAGCATTTGCAGTCGATGGACTAGACTCAGCCCTCTGCGACTTCAGCATGATGAACCAGCAGTATGCCGTCTTCTTCATTGATTTTATTCCAACAACAATAGCCTTTGAATGTATTCTTGTTTACAAAGCCCTATTGCACTGATCTGGGTCCCAGCATAAAGAAAGGGCTCCTTCTTAGGACTTGTGTACACACCCCACACACATGATCAATGATTACTTTGAGGACCCCCCCCCGAAAGGTACCTGCAACTTTCAGAACAAAATCCAAATGCCCAGGGCAAAGCCCCTTCAGCTGGTCCCGTGCGGCCTGAAGGCGGGTACTATGGGATCAGTAAGCCTATGGTTTAGGTTTAGGATGCTTTAGGCTTTAGGGGCGATCATCTCCAGAGAGTACCGGAATGAATCTTGGAGTCTGGATACTGGCTGGACCCCATCCATCATATTCCTTGTATAGCTGGCTGAAATCCTCTGTTCTCCACACCATACTCTGGCGGCTTGGTCTAGAATCGATGGTCTGGCATTCAGGACTCTGCTCTGCGTTTTGGGGTTGACACTTGGGGCTGGAGCAATACGTGCTTTAGCACAGTACTCGACCGGGGGATTGGGAGGTTATCCGCATCCGACCAATGGGGACTGCACACGAGAGACCCATGTTTCAAGAAAGCAGTTACAAGGGGTCCTCTAGGTCTGGCTGCGCCATGTTGTATTTCTGTGCGACTGAGGTGGCTTGTGTGGAGTGTAGAGTAGTAGGGCTGAAGATTCCAGCCCTGCCCCACCCCCTTAGATCATGGATGTTGCTTGTATGTGGGCATAGGGCTTACCGAAAGCATTTGGGTACCAAACATCGCAGATTACCCTGAAGCTGGCAGGCAATGAGCTTCTTCAATGACACGTTTGAGGCGCGGAGCATGTTGGCTTTTCCCCAAATGATTGCTGTGTAGCAAAGAAGCTACAGACCGCTGATCCCGAGATCCCTCCTTTCACGACCCCGTATTATTATCATTATCATTATCATTANNTTACTATTACTATTGTTATTAGTATAACTATTATGGGGTATAGAGCGCTCTTGAGACACTTGCATCCACGGGTTGGGAAAGCGCCCTTGTGCGCAGAAGGGAGCGCTGTCGGCTGCGTTCTTTGCCGCGGACGTAGCTTAAGCTGGCTGACTCTCCACGGGCGACCGATGTCACTTCAGGCTGATATGCTTGCAACATACATGCCTCTTTATGCAAGTATTATAAGATCCTTTCAAGAGTAGCGAATATTGGACCGACTATTGGAAAGCGACAGGGGGGGGGGG